CATATACATGTAATAAAAAGCGGTTATTTCAATATTACAAACAGACACTCTAATTTTATTTATATGTATAGATTACTATATATTATTATGTACAAGACAGCTGATAAATATACTTACTTTAAAAATACATACACAATATACATAGAAAACACCCAGATTAATACTAGTGAATACAAATGTTTGTATCGTTAAAAAATCGATCCCGCGACCATCAGTAAGTCGGGGTGCTAAACCACTAAATCAATGAGACCATCGCGAATCAAATTTCATTATTCAAAATTGTAATTATCTCTTATTTTTCTTCTCACTAGGGAACGCATGATTATTTTAAAAGACTTATCCGTTGACCATCAGTCGGGCCGTATGCTCGGTGTAAAAACAGTTCGTATTAGTGTGCAGTGTTAATTAGCGTATGATTATTTAAAAAGACATATTAGATATCCGTTGACCATCAGGCGGGCCGTATGCTCGGTGTAAAAACAGTTCGTATCTGTGTGCAGTGTTAATTAATAGTGATATAAATGTGAAAGTGAGTTTGTTGCCTCTAACTGGCCTAAGATTACGACTGATCGTCATGAAATTTGGCGTCCATGTCACTTACGAGATGGAGAAGGACATAAGTTCGTATCCCGGTCAGTCAAGTTATCCCAACGACGCGGACGAAGCCATGGGTAAAAACTAGTTCTATTCTAAATCGGCAACACTGACGTACAATAGTTAAAATTAATTTATTTTTAAGTTTAGTTGTTTATCTAATACATATAAATAAAATAAAAGTGTATGTTTGTAATTTCTAATTAACAGCTTTTTACTAAATGCATATGAAAGTGTTTAGAGTAATTGCATAAAGTAATCATTTTAAACATTTTTGTCAGTCTGTTTGTTCTTGCTAATGTTAAAACGACTGGACCGACTTTAACGGGACTTTTACTCATAGATAGCTAATGTTATCAACGCATAAGTGCTGCCATGCTAATCACCCTTTTTGAACTCGATTGAAAATAATATAAAATTACTGGAAGTTTTTTGTAATTAAATTTAATATTAATATGATGTTTTTTTTTATATATAAGTGTATTTTATATATGTATATAGGTGCTAGTTAGTGCTTGCAACTTTGGGTAGAAATAATGTTTCGATTACCAATTTAATTTTATTTTCGACATAATATTTATCTTCCTTACAAGAGTTAGGCTTAAGAAAGTAAATTTCCTAAAATTACCTACGCCTATTATAAACTTTTTTTTAAGAATCTAAATATATATAACTCAAAGGTGACTGACATAGTGATCTATCAACGCACAGCCCAAACCACTGGACGGATCGGACTGAAATTTGGCAAGCAGGTAGATGTTATGACGTAGGCATCCGCTAAGAAAGGATTTTGATTAATTCTACCCCCAAGGGGATAAAATAGGGGATGAAAGTTTGTCAATTTTAAACCGATCGCGCTGAGACTTTGCATGCATAAAGCTACTATAACGTAGACATCCCCTAAGAAAGGATTTTGATAAATTCCACCCCTAAGGGGATAAATTAACGCGAGCGAAGCCGCGGGCAAAAGCTAGTAATATTATAAATTTAATTCGAATTGAAAGAAAATTCCAATTGATTTCTGTGAGTTCAGTATTTTATTATTATGCTGATTTTTATATTCCTTGTGAAATCATTAGCTACGCGTTTTAATTCAATCCAATTCAATTTATTTGCTGGAACGTGTACATAATGGTCTTAAGGGATTTAATCTGGATTAAAAGGACCAAAATAGTTTTTTTTTATTCAATCAAAAAAAAAAATCCGTGGTATTTGCCGTGAACCCCCCTCCCCCTTTTCCAACGTAAGATTAGATGATATTTGACTCGACCCCCTCGACGTAATTTATGGACGCCCCAATGGACAGTTCCAAATCTGCCCTGCCGTTCACGACGTTTAAAAAATTACAATAATATTTATATTACATTCTTATTATTACTATAATCTGTTATTATCATTTAAATAATTTGTGGATTAATAACATTTATTTAATAATTCTTTAAATTGTTTAATGTTCAAATTTCTATTAAGTTCAAATTTACAAACATTTTTAGAAAAGAAAGAAAGGAAAGAAAGAATATAGTTTATTTGGTACAATTCTTCTTCAGTTGTTCACTCTTGGCAGAGTGGTCGTGGCTTTCATGATGGTATATCTTGTGGTATGGTATCGTTGTGGTCCTTGGCGACAGAGCTGCTTAGCTGTTAGGCCGGCCGGTAAACGAACGACGCTGGGGTGGCACACCCCAGCAGTATGACCGAGTAAAGAGCCGATGCTCGAGGCCCGCACCCGGCGGGCCGTAAGGACCACCAGACGACCTGTTCAGACAGAGCTCCTTGCAATTTGCCTCCACCTAGTACGGTTTTTGACTGCACGAGAACACTGTACAATGGACTGCTGTGTAGCCATTCTTATAATGTCAGTCCATCTCGTTGGTGATCGACCCCGAGAATGTCTCCAGACAGTGTTCATTCCGGCTAATGTGACCAATTTTTTTTATATTAAAATTTGAGCGCCTTTTACCGCAATCTCACCTGATGTTAAGTGATGATGTGGTCTAAGCTGTTACACGCAAGTTCAAATAGTGCCTCACTCTTGACTTGAAAGACCCAATGTTGTAAGAGGCAGGAAAAATAGACGCTGGTAGAGAGTTCCACTCCTTATACTTGAGAATTCGTATTTGCAGTCGACGATAATCTCTCCCTGACATAACAATAGTAAAAATAATTTTTAAATTTTAAATTATTTACTGGTTTATATCAATTACATAGTACCAAATAGGTTTCCGCTCAGCATATGTCGTAACGGGGTGCCACGCTGGTATTCTCCGGATATTTTGGAAGTCGGATAAAAGAAAATATCGTATTGATTTCCATGAGTTCAGTACGAGTAGCAACGGCTGTGATGAGTCAGTATATCTCATTTCAGCTAGTTACCTGTAAATTTACTCGGCTGAAGTTTATTGACGTCATATACACGTCATGACCTTACAATTGATTCAGATGTTATTTGCGGATTTTCATCTCAGTGACTAGCCAGCTAGATTCGTGGTTTTGTGACTCTGTGGACGAATGAATGTACTGTATATGTGAGCGCCATCTAGTCCCAAGCTAAGCAGAGCTTGTGTTATGGGTATTAGTCTACCGACAGATATACTTAAATACATTTTTATATATCGTCTATTAAATAGAAAAATGTCATTTTTCAAAATTAGAATCTAGCGGTGCCTTCTTAATGTGGTTAATTTAATTTACTTAAAGTAAATTAACTTAACCACGCCGTCTTAATCATTATCTAAATACTTTTAAAATGATATATAATACTTCTGTGTTAATTTAAAACTTTAAAGGAAAAACAAATCAAATAAATAAAAAAAACAACTAAATGCTTGTCTTATAAAAAATTTACATTTTGATTTCTGCCATTTTTCTATTTAACCGACGATATATGTACCTTATGTACATAGAAAACACCCCGACGGAAACAAATACTCATGACTACAAATGATTGTACCGTGCGAGGTATCGAACACGCGACCATCCAAAATAAAGCGGTGTACTCAACCGCTGCACCACCGCGGCCGTTAACGAAATATTCTATTTCATAATATGATCAAATATTGTAAGGTCATATCATATAATAGTTCCATTATTCTCAGCCAACGGCGTTAATAGCCAACTATTTACATACATACATACATGTTGACATGCTGTTTATGTGATAAATCATAACAGAGGTAAACAGTGTCAGTTCTCGTTCCCTAAAAGTGAACGTTAAATGTTATATTTTATGTTATTGAGGTATACTTTGTACAAAGTCGACGAAAATTGCCGTATTCTATCGTCAAGTACCTTGCATTGTGTCAGTTGTTGGGTTACACTGGCGGGGCACCAGTGGAGGATGAAAAGATGAGTATAAGGTCAGGTTAGTTAGCCCATTAGTTTACGCTGGCGGGGCACCAGTGGAGGATGAAAAGGCGTATTCTATCACCGAATAGCTTGCTTTGTTTCGGTTGTAGGTTTACACTGGCGGGGCACCAGTGGAGGATGAAAAGATGAGTATAAGGTCAGGTTAGTTAGCCCATTAGTTTACACTGGCGGGGCACCAGTGGAGGATGAAAAGACGTATTCTATCACCGAATAGCTTGCTTTGTTTCGGTTGTAGGTTTACACTGGTGGGGCACCAGTGGAGGATGAAAAGACGTATTCTATCACCAAATAGCTTGCTACGTTTCGGTTGTAGGCTTACAATGGCTGGGTATCAGTAGAGGATGAAAAGACGTATCCTATCAGCAAATAGCTTGCTTTGTTTCGGTTGTAGGTTTACACTGGTGGGGCACGAGTGGAGGATGATAAGATGAACATGAGGTCAGGTACTGACCTACCATTTTAAGTTCCACCTCCTCCACGCGCTTCCTCCTGGAAGCCATCGTGATGAATTTCTCGTGAACTTACCACGATGGGATAACTGACCTGTCCTTATGCTCATCTTATCTGCGTAAACCGCATGCACAGGCGGGTGCACCATTCCATTATCATACATAAAAAAATATACTATCTCCACTTGGGATATAATATTATATGTACCTGCCTACCTATATAAATAAACATAGTAAATACTATAATTGTACAAAAACAAGAAATTCAATTGAGTTTCATACCAGTTCTCAATTGAATCTGTATACTAAACTGGACGGTAGGGAAAAAAAAATTACGTTCATAAGCGGCTAAAATATTATGATAATAATATTTTAGCCGCTAAAATATTATATAATAAATCTATATGAAAAAATGATTTGTAAAATTGAATTTGATTTTAGTTTGTTTTTGACTAAATTGTCAATAATTGATGTTTGAATTGAATTTTAATTTTGTTTGTTTTTTTTTTGTTCTTCGTTCTTTTTAATATGGGTTTATAATTTGTTCAATAAGTGATTGTTTTATATAAAAAAATCTTTTTGTGTGTACAGTCGACGTGATTTCGCAATACGAGCCCACGTTCGGCGCGGGCGCGGCCGCAGTGCCAGCGGACAACATGCCGCACCCGCCCGCGCCCTCAGCTGGACCATACACCAAGATTGTTGAACAGCCGGCCGGAAAGGCGCTCAGGTTAGTTGTTGCATTATTTTCGACTAGAATAAGAGAACTATGAAATGAATTACTTTATCTACATAAATTAATATGTACATTAAATATGAAAATAATAACAAAATAATTTAATAATAATAATATATTTATTTACTGTGCCAGGTATAACAATTATGTGCTTAATCTACAATAGTAGTGTTTAATAATAATAATATATTTATTTATTGCCAGTACAAAAAATACATATAGACATACAAAAAAAATTTTTCAAATTGTCTGTAAATTAACAGATACAGTAGTACATCTCACTGCGTATTCTGGACAAAGAAAAAAATAAATATTTAATTTACGTTTTATTTGTTCAGGTTGCGAACACTATTTTGTTTTTTGCGATAGCATATGCTGGTGGTCACTCTATTCTCCCAAATTTGAATTTAAATGAATCTGTATTATTGTAAACATGTACAACATTTAATTATAAAGAATACGTGCTGAGTTTCGTGTCAGTTCTTCTCATCTCAAAATCATTCCGAACTGACGGAAGTTTTGACATATCATAAGAGTCTGTAATAGACCTACATGAATATAGATATTTTGAATTTGAATTTGACTTTAAACATTAGCAACACAGAGTAGTTTATTTTTTCTGTTTAATATATCAGTTCATTAAAATGTAGTTACTGTCTACCAATTAAGTACTGTGCTGATAATAATTAATATAATATGTCATTAATATCAGGTTGTCATGATGATTACCTATATATAGTTGTGGCGAGGGCACGCTCGGGGAACGCATTTAGTTGTAATGATCTTAAACAATATTAGATACTTTTTTTTTATGGATGATAATGGAATGGTGCACCCGCCTGCGCTAACGGTTTCCGCTGGCAGGGCAACAGTAGACGATGATAAGTGCATGAGGTCAGGTAATTGACCTGACCTGCCCATTATGACAAATTCACAATATTAGATACTAGTTATTATAAAAACCATCGCTCCTAAGAATATCCTTCAATTCTTGTCCCTGACGGGTCTAGGTAGCGAACTTTCAAAAAGGGCACAATAGATCTATGTAGATCGCAGTGCTACAGGTCCATGCACCTGACAATAGCCCAAACAAACCAATAAAAAAATGCGCAATTTTATGTTTCTACTAGTCGATCCGGCCACGCGTTACTGTGGCTACAGCTAAGATAATATTACATACATACGTAATGTTACATACATACATTACATCCCATACAAGAAAATGGTTCCTTCCTAACTCGGGCTATTCTTCGGGCTATTTTATTTCGACGCTGTAAGCGCTAGATGTCGCTAGATCTAAAGCAGTTCGGATTACTAGTGGGTGTTTAGAAATAAAGCATGAAAATAGATGGCAGGCAACTTGGTCTACATGACAGCTGTTTGTATGCGATGGACTGACTCTGTTGTGGCTAAAGTTCTTGAATAAAATAATATTGCGATTATAAATCGAGATGTAAGCTATCCTATCTTTCTAGTTGGTTCAAATTGCACACAATGTGCAAATCAAATTCGCAATCGGTTCAATAGTTTAGGAGTCCATCGCGGACAAACAATGTGACACGTAATTTTTAAATATAAAGAATTCAAAGAGACTAGTAATCCCATCTTCCAACTGTGCAAAGAATAAATAAACCAATTTATTGACTTTTATTAAGTCATTACATAGTATAAAACAAAGTCGCAGTCGCTGTTTGTCAGTCCCTATGTATGCTTAAATCTTTAAAACTACGCAACGGATTTTGAAGCAGTTTTTTAATAGATACAGTGATTCAAGAGTAGGATTTACATATATAATACATGTACACCCGTGCGAAGCCGGGGCGAGTAGCCAGTAAAGATATAATTAAAATGCCAAACAAAATCTATATATTATTGTTTATTGTACACACATATGGGACACAGTTATCTAGATACATCAAAATAATAATTGCATTTAATAATGTCTAGTAAGACAAATACAATATTGTGTACTAAGCACTGCTGTGTCTAAACTGTGTCACCCCATTACATTTTCCTATTGTTATATAAATATATATAACTCAAAGGTGACTGACATAGTGATCTATCAACGCACAGTCCAAACCACTGGACAGATCGGGCTGAAATTTGGCATGCAGATACATGTTATGACGTAGGCATCCGCTAAGAAAGGATTTTGATTAATTCTACCCCCAAGGGGATGAAACTTTGTCAATTTTAAACCGATCGGGCTGAGACTTTGCATCCATAAATCTACTATGACGTAGGCATCCCTTAAGAAAGGATTTTGATAAATTCCACCTCTAAGGCGATAAATTAACGCGAGCGAAGCCGCGGGCAAAAGCTAGTTTAGTATATAAGATCAATATTTTTACGTACATATTGTCAGTCTATTACCATCTGTAATATACATCGTCTCGACCAACAACATCGTATCATTCAACCGCAATAACTCACATAGGTACATATTAGATACTAGTTAGTATGTGCATGTGTTTCAATTGAAATGCCAAAAAATGATTCGTATTAATACTCGGTTAATAATATATATAATGTATATTAAACACGAAAGTTTAAAAATTACAATTGTTTTTATACTATAAATGAATTTTTCGCTAAAAGCTAGGAGTTATATTTAGAATTATTAGATAATAAAATTAGTAGTATTGTTTGATATATTTGTATAATATTGATTGACACCTAACTAAAATAAATGTCACGTATCTACCTATATTTGACATATAATACAATTTTTAAACGTTAATTCATTAATTCTATTGTATAATTTGTATATTACTAAAATGTTTGCATGCCAAAACAATGGCGAAATATGTGGACAATTTTATTAATACTGACATTCTTTTAATATTTATACCATATTTCATGCAAATAAATACATTTCATTTTACTAATCCATGAAACCCTAAGATGATTGTCTCTCTACTGTGGAGTAGAGTTGCTAGGTTTTAAGATGATGTTTCATTTGCTCTATGGCTAGTTGTCTGTCTGTTGGCTGGTCTACTATTTTATTTTTACCCACTACGTCGTCGTTTACTTATTCATAGACAATAACCATGCAATTTAATAATCTATTACTGAAATTTAATAATTTAATAATAGCAATGTTTGGAAAGCTTTGTTAGTTAAATATGAAACAGACGCCCGATTTTTAAATTTATTTTCAGCTTGTATAACATGATTAACGTTTATGTACAGTAGAAAGATGGAAAGTGAAAGATTTTTATTCTATAATACTATTTTTAATTATTTATTTAATTCAGGCAGCTAATGGCCCATATTATAAATACCTTACAAACTAACATATATATGAATAATATAATTATAGGAAAAGAAATATAAATTGTCTGTGTGATCACGGCACTGATGATTGTAGTCTGCCACGGTAGCGCCGATACACCACACCCTTCGGCCAGTCCTCCTTTATGAAGGTGGGCAGCATGTTAGTGGGAACTCGGGCCACAAACGTCTTGAAACTCGCGTTGAGTCGATTCCAGCTGCGTCACCCTCAAAATGAATGCCAAAGTTATTGTAATAGAGTCTTACTAATAATATGAACGCGAAAATTTGTGAGTATTTAAGGAAAGTGGATGGTTATAAGGGCACAGGAAGGGCGAAAGAGATGGATGGAGTGTGTGAAAGATATGGTAAGAAGGAAGTAAATAACGAGGTGACTGCGGACAGGGATGCATGGAAGAGAAAAATATATTACGATGACCCCAAATAATAGGATAACGGAGAAGCAGATGATGATGGAAAAATTTTTCTACGGGTGGAAGGTTGGATGATTGGTAGTATGGATGGATGGATTTTTGGATGATTGTTACTTTTTCAAGCAAAAATCACTGAACAGATTTTGATGAAACTTTAGTAATATAGCATATACATCAGAATAATATATAGGCTGTAAATTTCTGGCGGGTGAAACCGTGGGCACAGTTAGTTAATAATAATAACTCAGGACAAGTCACACAACGTCATCTAATCCCAATTAAAGCAGAACTTGTGTTAGGGGCACTAAACAACTGATATAAATACTTGATACATTTTTTTATAAATACATACATATTAAACAAAAACCAATATACACAATCATACACATTAATACAAATGTTTGTACTAAACAATTTATGATTTTCTGATACCGTGCATAACGCACCTTTTTGTATGATAATTATATTTTTTTATATATACATTTTAAATATTAAATTTTATATTATTTAAAATAGATCAAGGATGTTCTATTTTTATTGTCAATTTTAAAATATATGTTTTCTACCATCAGCGACCGTACAGTTTCTCTTCGAATTAAAATTATTAATAGACTAGCTGTTCCCGCGACTTCGTCCGCGTGGAATTGAACTTTATTTTTCTAAAATAAAAGTAGCCTAAGTTACTCCTTATTACATCAGCTGCCTGCCAAAAAATGTCCCGTCAAAATCGGTCCAGCCATTTCAGAGATTAGCATTAGAACAAACAGGCAGATAGACAGCAAATATTGTAAAAAATGTTATTTTGGTGTATGTACCGTATTTATATTCATATGCTTGTAGTAAATAACAGTTATTTCAATATTACAAACAGACACTCCAATATTTATTTACATAATAGATGAAATATACAGTACAGTAGAAACCTTATTGGCTAAAAGATATATACTATGTACTTAAATAACACAATTTTTTTAAATATATTTATAACGTACAAAGAAAACAGCCAGATCTACAGATACATACTCATGAATACAAATGTATCGTGCGAGGATACGAATCCGCGACCATCGGAAGTAAGGCGCGCTAAACCGCTAAACCACCGACCCGCTCTGGGTTATTGAAAACTTCCACATGTAGTGACCTTCCCTCGTACATTGTCGTGTGGTGAACGGTGAATCCCCATGGAAAATACAAATGTATCGTGCGAGGATACGAATCCGCGACCATCGGAAGTAAGGCGCGCTAAACCGCTAAACCACCGCCCCCTCTTGACTTTTGAAAACT